AATAAACCATGAAAAATCTTCTTTTAAGCTAATGGACTAAAAGATTTCTTGCCTTTTTCATTTCTGCTAATGGCCTCTCTCCCTTGGCACCGCCAGAGCTGGCCCATTAAGGGTGAATCGAGCCTCAGTGTGCAGGCAGGACATGGTCCAAAAGATCATTTGTAAGTTGGTTGTTTGGACCAAAGAATGTGTTTTTCCCTGGAAACCATTTTTCTCAGGGTGACTGGGTTCTCAGGTTCACTTGCACAGTACTGTTCAACTTCTACCGAAGCTGAGCTCTGAGTGGTTGAGGGCGGGTTCTCTGCAGGGCAGGAGGGAGAAAGCAGGTCAGCTGCTGCTCCTTTGCATAGAGCCCTAGCTCTGAGCACAAGTGAAGCGTAGGTAGTTTTCTTTTCCACTTTCTCAACTCCCTTTTGGCATCCAGGTCCAGGGCCCTAGTCCCCAGATTGCAGCACCCTCCTCTAATGTGCCTAACCCACCTCTGGGCAGCTTGCCTGCTGAGGGGGCCTGTGACCCCAAATTACCTACTTGTTCCTGCTTCCTGACCAATCAGACTTCCATTTCCTCAGGGTAGTTGCTATCAGCTAAGGGCCAGAGGAGAAGTAAAAGGAGCAGCTATGAATTCACACTAGCATGTGAATCATGGAGAATCTCTCAACCCTCTTAATGTCTTCTCATGTTAAAATGAATTAGTTGTGAGGCTTGAGAGTCCTTGTGGAGCAGTATGGGTTAGGGATGAACAAGATAGCTAAGGATTCAGAATTCACACACACATTAGTGAAACTCTTAGGCTCTTTACTGCACCTGTTTCCAGAACACTGGCAGTCAGTTAAGAAATGATCCTACTCTGGAAAAAAATGGGAGGGTCATAGAGAAGAAACTTTCAGGTTCAGACACTGGGGAGACTCCCCTCAGTGAATAAACTGGTTCTCTGTCAGATAGCCTCTGAGAATAAGCCACATTCAGGCACACAGAACCCCCATCAGCTTTTTTTTTTTTTTTTTGAGACGGAGTTTCACTCTTCTTACCCCGCTGGAGTGCAATGGCGCGATCTCGGCTCACCGCAACCTCCGCCTCCTGGGTTCAGGTAATTCTCCTGCCTCAGCCTCCTGAGTAGCTGGGATTACAGGAATGCACCACCATGCCCAGCTAATTTTTTGTATTTTTAGTAGAGACGGGGTTTCACCATGTTGACCAGGATGTCTTGATCTCTTGACCTCATGATCCACCCGCCTCGACCTCCCGCCACCAGCTTTTTATACCTCATAATGAAACCTTAACAGATAGCCGAAGATTATCAGATGTTTATGGAAAGTTCTAACATGAAACAAAGAGATCAAAACAGAGGAAACAACAGAACAAATCTTCAAAAGTAGTATAGTTACTAGCTATAGAGAAATAAGAAAATACAGTTTATTCATTAAATGAGAGGATGTATTTTTTTAGACTGTTTGGGATGCTATAACAAAATACAATAAACTTGATGGTTTGTAAATAACAGAAATTTATTTCTCATGGTTCTAGGGTCTGGAATCCAAGATCAAGGTGCTGATTTGGTGTCTAGAGAGGGCCTGCTTTCTGATTCAGAGATAGTGTCTTCTTGAAGAGGCCTCATGTGGTGGAAGAGACCCACTGGCTCCCTTGGGTCTCTTTTATAAAGGCACTAATACTATTCATAAGGGTTACATTCTCATGACCTGATCACCTCCCAAAGGTTCCCATCTACAAATACTATCACGTTGGGAGTTAGGTCTCAACATAAATTTTGGGGAGACACTGACATTCAAACAATAGGTGCAAAATAATCATAACAGGAAAGGGGATTTTGGCTATGAAAAAGCAGAACAGTTGAAAGTAACTATTCAAAAGAAAAGATAGAAAATAATTGATTAAAAACTTCAGAACATAGCACAAAAAGATGAAAAAACGTGAGAGATAAGAAAATTTGAGGATCTATTCTGAAAGTTCAACATCCAGCAAGAATGGAGGGAAGGAAATTATCAAAGAAATAATACCAGAAAATTTCTCAGAATGAAAGGATAAGAGCCTCAGTATCAAAGGCCCCGATACGTGAGACACAAAATGAATGGGAAGAAAGGCTCAGGCTAAGGCACATCTTTATAACCCTTCAGAATTCTAAGGATAAAAAGGAGATCCTAAAATCTTCCCAAAAATAACAGATAACATACAAAGGACTAGGAATCAAAATGGCATTGAACATCTCAGTGGCAACATTGGAAGTCAGAAGAAACTGGAGCAAACTATAATTCTGAGGGGAAGTGATTTGCAAGCTAGAATTCCACACCAACCCAGATAGATTTTCAGCCAAGTATGATGGCAGAATAAAAACGTTTTCAGATGGCAAAGATCTTAAAATATTTTCTCTATGTACCTTTATTCCAGAAGGTTCTGGGGATGTGCTACTGAAACCAAAGGAGTAAGCCAGGAAAGAGGAAGGCACAGAATTTAATAATTTAAGAAGCAGGGGATCCAACAGAGCAAAGTGTAGTTGCAGTCATAGGAACAGCTATGCAGCAGGCCCACTGATGACCAGTATAGATAGGAATGGGAAGATGAAGGTACCTAGAAAAAAAATGTAACCAGTGTGCATAGGTCATGTAGAGAAGCATTAAAAAAACAAAGAATCAGAGAATCATTAAAAAATGAGGCACATGAATATTATATAATTTTTAAAGAAAATAAATAATAGAAATCAAATGTGATTAACTCCAGGCAAAAATAAAGAGGTTCTATAAGAAAAAAAATGTATGGTCATAGTACACTACTTGGCTCGGCAGCGCACAATGTTTGCATAAACATCAAAATGTAAACACTGACCACCAGAATCAACCAAAATTTGTGATATAATCACAAGAGGAATGAGAGGTAGAAAGTATGATGTATGAGATGTATGTATTCTCTCATGGCAATAAACAGATGCTGCCTAAAATTAAAAGATCAAGAAATCATCCAGGCGCGGTGGCTCACACCGTAATCCCAGCACTTTGGGAAGCCAAGGTGGGTGGATCACCTGACAGGAGTTCAAGGCCAACATGGTGAAACCCGTCTTTACTAAAATACAAAAATTAGCCGGGTGTGGTGGTGAGTGCCTGTAATCCCAGCTACTAGGGAGGCTGAGGCACAAGAATCGCTTGAACTCAGAAGGCAGAGGTTGCAGTGAGCTGGGATTGCACCACTGCATTCCAGCCTGGGCAACAGAGCAAGACTTCGTGTCAAATAATAATAATAATACGTTCTCTAATTATCTACATTTTACAAACTAGTGAAGAGATGAAAAAGAGGTCAATTAACTGGCACAGGTCCCATGCGTATAAGTGAGGGTTTTGGGGTTCAAGCACAGACCACCTTCACCTTAGGCTGTCAGGAGACAGGCACCCAGTCAAATGCACATGTAAGAAAGCTCACAACTTCTTAAGCACTGAAGCAGGAGTTGGTGCATCAGTATTCTCAATTTCAAACTTTGAGAACAGTCATGGTATGAATGCATTTTATTAAAGAGTGGGTTCAGGTGAGAGTGGATATGGGCACTGTGTTCAAAGGGCACATTTGGAGATTTCAAGATCCAGGAGGGAGAACCAATAACGAAGGGCTGAGGAGATCCTCGAAGTTGAAAGGTTCAAATACACAGAGTTAATATCCTCTAAGGAGAGCCAACAATGGGTTAGGAGTGGAGAAGACAATAACACAAGTGCTGAAGTCATCAAGAAAATGTGCCTGTCTTTCCTGGAGACTGGGAAGAATTAGGATGAGGAAAATCCAAAGGATGGTAAAATGACCTGACTTCAAAAGAACTGAGATGGGGAGCGGTGGCTCACATCTGTAATTCCAGCACGGTGGGAAACCAAAGTGGGTGGATCACCTGAGCTCAGGAGTTCGAGACCAGCCTGGGCAACCGGGTGAAACCCCGTTTTTGTTTTGTTTTGTTTTGTTTTTTTTAAGAGAGGTTACTTTTGTGGCCATAGGACAATAGCTGGAAAATAAAAACAGGGGCTTAAGTATTTTTGAGGGAAATGTGGGAGGGAAGAAGTGGTGTCCAGGGAAGGAAGCTGGGTGTCCCTTAAGGTGAGGTCTTGAAAGTGAACCAGTGGGAGGTTTGGGGAAACAGGTTTGTAATGGAATTGGGCTTCCCCAGGGCTCCTTTGTAGGAAGCTGCTAGGACCAACAGATCATGGAATGAACTGGTGAAGAAGGAACTGAGTTGGATAGGAAGGGAGGTGTGGGGGTAGAGCCCTGTTTAGAGGCCCACAACTTCAAAGGGAGAGGGGACGCTAGTTAGGTGGCGATTTGTAACTGGGATCACTCAGTGGCATTACCCAGCCTGGCCATCTGCCATGTCCTAAGGCCTGATGGGCGCTGGGATGCATCAGGAGCTGTACGGGGGAGTGTCCAGGGACTTCGAGCTTCGATCCCTCACATTCCCAGGGCCGAAAGGGGTCCTCTCCTCTTTCAGATGACAATGCTGATGCACTCGGCCCGGGCGCGGTGGCTCATGCCTGTTATCCCAGCACTTTAGGAGGCCAAGGCAGGCGGATCACTTGCGGTCAGGAGTTCGAGACCAGCCTGGCCAACCTGATGAAACCTTGTCTTTACTAAAAATACAAAAATTAGCCCGAAGTGATGTCGGGCACCTGCAGTCCCAGCCATTCCAGAGGTTGAGGCAGGAGAATCGCTTGAACCCCGGAGGCGGAGTTTGCGGCGAGCCGAGACAGCACCACTGCCCTTCAGTCTGGGTTACAGAGTGAGACTTGGTCTCAAAACAAGAACAAAAAACAAAAGAAAAAGAAAAAAAGAATAGCGAGGCCCAGAGAGGTTGAACATCCCACCCCAAGCCACAGAGCTAGCTAAGCCCTAAGGCCGGCCCCGCGGTGCCTTTTCGACCTCACGGCCTACCCTGAGCATCTAGGTTTCGACCTCAGAGCGCCAGAGGCGTGCCCACACTTGTGTGTCTGGGTTTCAGCCTCCGCCACCCCCAACAAATAAAGAGGGGAAAGTCCTGCGGGTGACGTCCCCGGGGAGTGTCGCGGCTCTACGTCAACCTGCGGCGGCCGCCGACTCATGTGGGGCCACCCTGGTTGCATTTGTCACGCTGGGGACGCCTCTCAAACCCGCAGCCAGCCAAGCACGTTCCCACACGGGCGACCCCGGCGACCGGGACGCGTCTGGGGCTCTCGCGAATCTGACCGCGGAACCTCCGCGAGGACAGGCGGGGAAGTGGCGACGGCGGGGGCGGACGGCGGGGGGCTTGTAGTCCCCTCGCGACCCTCTGCTCTGGAAGAAGCGGGCCACAGCCTCCGAACTCTGCGCCTGCCCAGCGGCTTCGCGCTACGGAACGTGGCGCGAGAGGGTCGTGAGCTGGGCGGGCCCACAGGGCGTGCGCGACGGAGCGGCGCAGAGCGTGGCGCGAAGGGGCGTGGCGCTGGTGGGCGTGACGAGGCATAGTGCAAAGGGACGCGAGGCGCACGCGCATGAGGGCTGCCGCGGGTGGGTGGCGTCCGGGCCTGTTGGGGAGGGCGGTTCGCAGGTGCTGTCAGAGCTGGGCCGGGGCCCCTAGGCAGGGCAGCCGGGTCGTAGAGGCGGGGCCGGTCGCGGTCGGTGGAGAAGGATGAGGATGTGGGAGGGGACGACGTGGCGGAAGCCGCGGGGACCGCGGGGGCGGAGTGCCTCTGGGGAGCCAGGGAGGGCCTTTCCCGAGAGTCCTAGGGGAGAAGAGGCGAAGCGAGAGTCCCCGGGGTAACCCCCACTCCACCCTCAGCCGGAGCCCACAGTGCGAGTTGCCATAGGCAACCAGCCAGGGTGGCCAACTCTTCCGGGTTTGCCCGGGATGTTCCGGTTTTGGGACCGAAGCGTCCCAGGCCTCCAGCCCACTGCAGTGACTGCATCGTGCGCCCTCTGCCCGTCTTCTCCCACAGCTTCCCTAGATTGGGCTTCGGAGGCAAGAGGAGGCCTCCTCACCTTTCACTCTGTCTTTTTAATATTAAGATGAAGGCACACTCCATAACATCTTTCCGGCCGGGCCCAGACATGTCCGTCCTTGTAAGATAAAAGCTTCCATGGGAGCCTTCCTTCCTAAATCAAGGTAGGTAGACTACAGGAAGGTACATCTTGTTTTATAGTTTGTCCTATAGAAGTCAGATTTCAGCCCAGTTGTGTAGGGGTGAGGATAAGCCTATGCTCCTATTAGAGCTTTGAGTACAGAGACATTTGATCTGGAATTTCAGCCATCCTCGTCAACCCCAGAATTCAGAGGTTCAATCAGAACACACATTAGCTGAAGTTTTCCCATTCATTGTCTGTCATTAAACTGGGAAAATCTAGATAATTAGGAAATATGACAGAGATGATCTAGACAGAGATTTTCAGTTTTTTCCTCATCTAATTAAAAAAGCCTCGTGGTGGAACATCTGACCCATTCAAGAGGAAGGATGAAAGCTCTACATAGGAACACGATGTGAATGGAAGAAACCTGTCATCGTGAGTCTGGCTTTTGATTAGTCATCTGATGTCTTCCCTAATGTGATGTGAATTTGAGGCCATAAACTTCAGTGGCTAAGCTGTAGCTTCTCATCCTGCACTTAAATTACAGAAATGATAGGGCTTACATTAGTTTTGTTTTTATTTGATGTTGAAGATCTTTAAGTCACATTAGAAAGGGTGAGTATTATTCATGAGGCCCTAATGAGTTAACTCATAGTATTATTATTATTAATTAATTTAATTTTTGAGACTGAGTTTTGCTCTTGTTGCCCAGACTGGAGTGCTGTGGCATGATCTCAGCTCACTGTAACCTCTGCCTCCCAGGTTCAAGGGATTCTCGCCTCAGCCTCCCAAGTAGCTGGGATTACAGGCATGTGCCACCATGCCCAGCTAATTTTGTATTTTTAGTAGAGATGAGGTTTCTCCATGTTGGTCAGGCTGGTCTTGAACTCCTGACCTCAGGTGATCCACCCACCTCGACCTCCCAAAGTGCTGGGATTACAGGTGTGAGCCACCATATTCGGCTAGTAGTATTTTTTTGAGACAGGGTCCCTGTTGCCCAGGATGGAGTGCAGTGGCATGATCACGGCTTGCAGCCTCAACGTCCTGGGCTCAGGTGATCCTCCCACCTTAGCCTCCCAAGTAGCCGAGACTACAAGTGGGCACTACCATGCCCAGCTAATTTTTTGTAGATACAGGGTTTTGCCATGATGCCCAGGCTGGTCTCAAACTCCCAGGCTCAAGCAGTCCTCCCTCAGGCTCCCAAAGTGCTGGGATTATAATCGTGAAACACTGTGCCAGGCCAATACTATTATTCTCCAAAAGAAGGAAATTGGGTGTGAGGTCATGCTCCTGTGGTCACCATGAGGTTTGTTTTGTTTGTTTTGGACTCTTGCCCAGGCTGGAGTGCAGTGGCACGATCATGGCTCACTGCAACCTCAAGCTCCTGGGCTCAAGTGATCCTCCTGTCTCAGTCTCCCTGGTAGCTAGGACCACAGGTGTGCACCACTATGCCCAAGGAATTTTTAAATTTTTTGTAGCGACAGGGTCTTGCCATTTGCCCAAGCTGTTCTTAAACTCCTGACCTCAAGTAATCTTCCTATCCCAAAGTGCTGAAATTATAAGCATGAGCCACCACACCTGGCCACCACTAGTTTTTGTAATGGGAGCAGGTTTCATATGGGATGAAGGAATGGATCTTATGATTTTCTTTTTAATTTCTTAGATCCCCAATAAATTGATTTGACATGAGGAAACCACTCTAAATTTGACGCTCTAAAGCATTAGCAGTTCGTCATCTCATTCTAGGGAGAAATCAGAGCTGTATATGGAAGACAGTTAAAGTCCACAATATGCTTATGTATTTTTATATTTGACTACTTGTGTTTTTTTTGTTAGATGCAGATAGTACGGCACTCTCAGCAGACGCTAAAAACAGCTCTCATCTCAAAGAACCCAGTGCTTGTGTCGCAGTATGAGAACTTAGATGCTGGGGAACAGCGTTTAATGAATGAAGCCTTCCAGCCAGCCAGTGATCTCTTTGGACCCATTACCTTGCATTCTCAATCAGATTGGATCACCTCCCACCCTGAGGCCCCCCAAGACTTTGAACAGTTCTTCAGTGATCCTTACAGAAAGATACCCTCTCCAGACAAACACAGTATTTATATACAGTCCATTGGTAAATACTGGTAATGTGCTGGTTTTGGTTTGGTATTGCAATGGTGCTGTTGTCAGGAATAGTCCGGGCTATTGGTCTGATTCAGATGGGCAGTTTTAGGATTATTTTGATATTCATTGCAATGGTACAAGTTTTGTAGCCAAACTGACTTACAAGAGAACATTTTCTTTCTTTTTAATTCATATCAACACTAATGAATTATAAAAGTGTATTGAAAATTTAGAGTTGTATTTGTTTCTAATTTGAATCCTCTTCCTCATAGACTGGGTATAAAGACTGAATAATCATCTTAAACTCTGTCTTTAAATGTTCTTCCATATTGCAGGATCTCTAGGAAACACCAGGATTATCAGTGAAGAATATATTAAATGGCTGCAGGGCTATTGTAAAGCATATTTCTATGGCTTGAGAGTAAAACTCCTAGAACCAGTTCCTGTTTCTGCAACAAAATGTTCCTTTAGAGTTAATGAGAACACACAAAACCTACAAATTCATGCAGGTGAATTACACAGCTTTGCAATTTGAACTGAGTAAAGGAAGCATGTGTATATAATATGCACGCATACATATATATATTTCTTTTTAAATAGGGGACATCCTGAAGTTCTTGAAAAAGAAGAAACCTGAAGATGCCTTCTGCATTGTGGGAATAACAATGATTGATCTTTACCCAAGAGACTCCTGGAATTTTGTCTTCGGACAGGCCTCTTTGACAGATGGTATTCCCATTGTTGTTAGGAATTTCTTCAAATTGAGAATATTTGAAGATGTCAAAAGAGGGAAAAAAATTCCAATCAAGGATCATTTTGATATTTAAAACTGCATAGTATTTTCATTTGAGCCATCATGCCATAATGAGAAGTGTGCTGTTGGTAGATTCTGATAATCTACATTCCAGTTGGCCATGCACTACCTACATGACCTTAAAGGTAACAATAACCGGCCAGGTGCAGTGGCTAACACCTGTAATCCCAGCACTTTGGGAGGCCGAGGCAGGCGGATCACCTGAGGTCAGGAGTTTGAGACCAGCCTGACCAACATGGAGAACACCCTCCCCATTAAAAATAGAAAATTAGGGCCTGGCGTGGTGGCTCACCTCTGTAATCCCAGCACTTTGGGAGGCCGAGGCGGGTGGATCACGAGGTCAAGAGATCGAGACCATCCTGGTCAACATAGTGTGAAACCCCGTCTCTACCAAAAATACAAAAAATTAGCTGGGCATGGGGGCGCGTGCCTGTAATCCCAGCTACTCAGGAGGCTGAGGCAGGAGAATTGCCTGAAGCCAGGAGGTGGAGGTTGCGGTGAGCTGAGATCGCGCCATTGCACTCCAGCCTGGGTAACGAGAGCGAAACTCTGTCTCAAAAAAAAAAGAAAAGAAAAGAAAAGAAAATTAACTGCATGGTGGCACATACCTGTAATCCCAGCTACTTTGGAGGCTGAGATAGGAGAATCACTTGAACCTGGGAGGCAGAGGTTGCGGTGAGCCGAGATTATGCCATTGCACTCCAGCCTGGGCAGCAAGAGTGAAACTGTCTCATTAAAAAAAAAAAAAAAAAAAGGTAACAATACAATACCCACATCATGGAGTCATTTTGAGATAATTTACATAAAAGAGCCTGTACATAAAAAATGTGTCTAAACCTGGGCTACATAGTAAGACCACATGTCTACAAAAAATAAATAAATAAATAAATAAATTAGCTGGGCATGATGGCACACACATGTAGTCCTAGCTACTCAGGAGGCTGAGGTTGGAGGATTGCAAGAGCCCAAGAGGTTGAGGCTGCAGTCAACCGTCATCACGCCACTGCACTCCAGCCTGGGCAATAAAGTGAAACCCTGTCTCAAAAAAAAAAATGTATATATATGCCTGGCATATATATAGGCATTCAGTGTAACAGCTAGTAAATGTCAGTAATTCAGTAGCAAGGTGAATTAAACCAATTATAGTTTGAACTATCATTAATGGATAGGAAAATCTTGCTCATTGTTTTTCAATTCTTTTCATAGTCATCTTGCACAGATACAACAGCCATAGACTAAGGGCATGCTTCTTTCTCATCCTACAGCGTTTGTTTTTGTTTTTTAATTTAAAAAATCAAAACTTCCATCTTTGATTTGAGTTATGTAATAAACCTTGACTCATTAGGAACTCTACATGGTAATATTGAGCGTGGGAAAGGTTCTGGAAACAGGTCATATGTTTAGCCTTTTTTTTGTCATCTCTCTGCTTATCTTCTCTCCCCTTCATTTTTGCTCTTCTCTAATTTCATCCCCAAGAATCTGAGACAGACTTGAAAGGGAAAAGGCCCCCAAGGGCAGTGGTCCATTAGTGTTCTGGAAATGAGGAGTAAGTACCAGGGACTATCCTGAGAGTTTATGGTCTCTCCAGATGTTACATTCGCCTTAGGATTTATGTGGGGTGGTAAGCTTTTTGGGACAAATGTTTCTACTAGTGGTGTGGGCTGTAGGGTTATAGAGCCTCTTCCCTATTCCTTTATTCTATTCTCCATTTATGTAAGGTTTCTTGTTGCCCACCCTCCTCCATGGTCCTACCAACACGCAGTCTTGTAGACATGGGTCACTAGTCTGACTGATTTTGGTGGTGTGAGGTAGCTTTTTATCATAAGTTTTCTCTTTTATTTTTAACCTTATAGAGATGGAATCATTAAAAAATAATTTACCTTTTATTTTTCTTTTGAGAGAGTCTCCCTCTGTCACTCAGGCTGGAGTGCAGTGGTATAATCATGGCTCACTGCAATGTCAACCTCCTGGGCTGAAGGGATCCTCCTACCTCAGCCTCCCGAGTAGCTGGGACCACAGGACCACCACACCTAGCTATTTGTTGTTGTTGTTGTTGTTGAGATGGAGTCTCCCTGTGTTACTCAAGCTCATCTCAAACTCCTGGGCTCAAGCGATCCTCCCACTTCAGCCTCCCAAAGTGCTTTGATTACAGGTGTGAGTCACTGCACCCAGCTAAAAAAATAATTTTAAAGTCATATGTTCATTTATCTAGCTATTGCTGGCTAATTTATCTTATATATTTGAGAGGTCAGGAAACATTTCCCCCAAACTGTTTTTACTTTAATTCTTTTTTTGGTAAGTTTCTTAAATATTACATGATGCTAAAGATTTACACAGGAAAGTAGCAGGAATAGACAGTAATAATATCGTAACACAAATAGTCTTGTTTTTTCCAAGTTTGCAAAGATTGGTATTTTTAAATTGAGAAGCATTGACTATGAAAGAAAATAATCTTCTATTTATAGGATTATTGGAAGAAAGACATGTCCTTGCTAAAAGTATTACTGTAGTAAAATATGCCCACACTTGATTGGCCAGAGGAGGTTACTTGTGATACATGAATAGATTTAGTGTTTTCTTAACTTCCAGAATGGTATCTTTCCCTGATTTTTGAATTATCAGTCTACACTTTTTGGGTAAAGGGAGGTGAGGAAGTTGTTTTTGGATCAAATTAGACTGGACAAATCTAATATAGGTTTGTTTTCTTTAAAAATGTATTACTTTTTGCTAGGATTACAGGCGTGAGCCACTGTGCCCAGCCTGTAAAAAAAATATATTACTGGGGCCGGGCGTGGTGGCTCACGCCTGTAATCCCAGCACTTTGGGAGGCCGAGGCGGGTGGATCACGAGGTCAAGAGATTGAGACCATCCTGGTAAACATGGTGAAACCCCGTCTCTACTAAAAATACAAAAAATTAGCTGGGCATGTTGGCGCATGCCTGTAATCCCAGCTACTCAGGAGGCTGAGGCAGGAGAATTGCCTGAACCCGGGAGGCGGAGGTTGTGGTGAGCCGAGATCGCGCCATTGCACTCCAGCCTGGGTAACAAGAGTGAAACTCCGTCTCAAAAAAAAAAAAAAAAAAAAAAAAAAATGTATTACTTTAAAATAACTGAACGAGAGACATAAATAAAAGTGAGAATGTAAACAAGTCAAATTATGAAGCAATACCCTGTAGAGTAAGTTATGTATCAAACCGTGTTCTCTGTGCTTGCAGAGATGGTTGTTATAACTCTAAATGTAACACAGGAAGTCAGTTAAAAGGGTATTTATTCTGGCCACCAGACTCTAGTGACATAATAGACTTGTGCTGTTCTTTGAAAAGGGGGCAGGGGTGGGGAGGCAGAGGAGGAGGTTATTCTGTCTAAAGCCATGGTTTAAAGCGTGATCTACAAGACATCAGGGGAAGTTGTCCTTAGTGCTGTGTGAGGTAAGGCCTGCAACCCCTCCAGACACATGTATAACAGATCTGTTTAGTGTGTCCTTAAAGAGCGAAATCATCACTGCCTGTTGTTCATGTGATTTTTTTTTTTTTTTTTTTTTGAGATAGAGTCTTGCTCTGTTGCCAGGCTTGAGTGCAATGGCACCATCTTGGTTCACTGCAATTCTGCTGCTTGGGTTCAAGCCATTCTCCTGCCTTGGCCTCCCAAGTAGCTGGGATTACAGGCACCCACCATTGTGCTCGGCTGATTTTTGTATTTTTTAGAGACAGGATTTCACCGTGTTAGCCAGGCTGGTCTTGAACTCCTGACCTCAGGTGATCCACCTGCCTTGGCCTCCCAAAGTGCTGGGATTACAGGTGTGAGCCACCACACCTGACTCGTGATTATTTTTTATGATTCCGTTTTGAGTACTTGATTTGGAGTACTTGCTACTTTCAGAAAAAGACTTCTTTTGTGGGAAAAGACTCTCTGAAACTTCAGTTTCTCAAGAATTTGACCTCAAGTCCATTAAGTTTTACAGGGCAAGGCAAAGTGGATAGCAGCACACAATTTTGATAGGGGAATCTGGGACAAGTCTTTGTTGGCAAACTAAGTACATCAGATGGTGTGGACACGGTGACACAGAGGTGCACTCACTGGCCAGATGGGCCAGCAGGCTCTTCTTTCTTTGGTCTTTCCTCGGGGACCTTACTCTCATTCTGTTGCTGCTTGTCCTCTTTTTGTAGGTGTGGGGATATTCAGTTTTGCCAGGTATGGCAGTGATTTTTATAGCTTGCGCTGTGAAGGCAAAGTGAAGAAGCTCAAGAAAACATCTTCGAGTGACTATTCAATTTTTGACAACTATTATATTCCAGAAATAACTAGTGTTTTACTGCTTCGATCCTGTAAGGTAAGCTGTTAAAAAAATCTGACAGGACCATTTTTTAAAAGAGATCTTTGTTCCCTAAATTGGATGGTGTCAGTCCTAAGGCAATGTTATAAATGAGTTTGTGTCATTTGTATAATTTTGGTGCATAGTGCTTGACTGAAATGATCAGTAAAACAATTTAAATGGATACCTTCATATTGAAATTGATAATATCAGTGCCAGGTTCTTGTACTAGTTACATGCAGCCTTGGCTGTACCCAGGTCCTCTCTATTAGTGTAATTCCTGAATTCAGGTGTGAGTGGGTAACCTGCTTTTTCAAGCTACTGTGGTCATTGGGCAAAGCTGCCTTCCCCAGGCCTTTGGAGGACCTCTGCTCTCTGGCTTGTCTGGGAGCACGGGCCTTCCTGCTCTGGGCTCCAGGATACCCTGGATTGTAGTTGTCCTGGCAGTTCCTGATCTCCCCAACTCGGTTTTTTCAAAAGCCTATCTCCCCTTTCTCCAGAGCCAGAGAGACAGGCTTTTCCTTTAGCTAGATAAATTCTGCTTTCACCTGTATTATTTGAGAACTACATTCTCAAAGTGTGTTCCATGGGCCCCTGTGTCATTGTCACCTAATGTCTCGTTAGCATGCAGATCAAGTCCCCTTTCTCCCAGACCTACTGAAATAAGCATCTCTAGGGAAGGGCCCCAGAATCTGTATTACAATGAGTACCCTAGTTTAGATCAGGATTTCTTAATCAGGGGTGATTTTGCCATCCAGGAAATATTAGCAATTTCTGGAGACATTTTTGATTTTCACAATCAGGGAGGGAGTTCCGTTGGCATCTAGTGGGTAGAACCAGGGATGCTGCAAAGCATCGTGCACTGCACAGGACAACTTCCCACAACCTGGTGTTATCTGTCCAGCATGTCAGCAGTGTTGAGGTTGAGGAAGTGTGTAGCAAGAAAAGCAATAAGACATTTGGGAAAATGAGGGATTATTAAGCCTTTGAAGGTTGGACAGGGTGAAGTTTTGGCGATAATGGTAAAAGAGTTGATTCCTGTTTTTCTTGGAAAAGCAAGAAACAGAAGAGATGCATAGCTTAATGTGATGGTGGTCTTATAATGCCTCAATGTGATTGTGCTGCAGACTTTAACCCATGAGATTGGACACATATTTGGACTGCGACACTGCCAGTGGCTTGCATGCCTAATGCAAGGCTCTAACCACTTGGAAGAAGCTGACCGGCGCCCTCTAAACCTTTGCCCTATCTGTTTGCGCAAGTTGCAGTGTGCTATTGGCTTCAGCATTGTAGAAAGATACAAAGTAAGTTGGGGGCTCCACGGTGTAAACGGGGGGAAGTGGTTATCTCAGTAGCAAACTGACATTTCTATTATATCCTTCTCTAGAGCTATAATTTATCAGAGGAAATTAGTGTAAAGATTAGCAGGAAGCTGTGGTTAAAAAAAAATGCAAAGAAATGCCCTTCTTAAAAACTTCAGCTTGCCTTTGAGTGATTGATGCTAACAGTTCGATGCGGAGTAGTGGAAGAAGTTTCTCTACTTTTCTTCCATTTAGGGCAAGAGAGCTTGACTTTGCAGAACAGAATAAATATAGATACGTGTGGCAAAGTTCATTTTTTAAACCCTGTAAGTTTGTGCACAGGATTTATGTTTCCAAATATGGGACAGAGGTATGACATTCATTAGGAGAAAAAAATGATTTTCTTTAAAAAGGAAGAAGGAAAGTACCTAATCTCAGTGCATGTGTGTGTGCCCACACATGCCCACAAACATCAGTATACATTCATGTGGCTACTCATGGGTATGACTGCGCATTCAGGTGACTGCACAGAAATGTCTGCACACATGTTTTCACATGCATATGTCTACCCATGCCTGTGTGTACACTTACATATATATGTATGTACATATCAAATTAATATAATGCCTTGTGGAATATTTAGCAAGTTTGGAAAAAATAATAACATGCTAGGAGAAAAGGGTAAGAAAAGTGTATTTCTTTTTCGTCTTTTATCAGTGCATATTTTTGACATAATTTGTAATTCTGTGTGTATTTGGTAGGTGCCCTTTCACTCAGTTTATCATCAGCATTATTTCATATTCATACCATAATTATCAAATGCAGCATCTCCTTGGGGTAATATGTCACCCCATGATCTAGAAGCCAATGTTCTTCTCTTGCCTGATCTATTTTGCTGTGGTTTGTTAGAACGCATGTCTTCTATGTTTTTCCAGGCACTGGTGCAGTGGATTGATGATGAATCTGCTGGCACACCTGGAGCAACTCCAAAACACAGTCGTGAGGATAATGGGAATTTACTAAAACCCATGGAAGCCTTTAAGGAATGGAAGGAGTGGATAATAAAATGCTTGACTGTTCTCCAAAAATAAGGACCTTCAAATAGGAGTGATTGAAATAAATAACTACTTGCATGTAATGCTTTCATTTGGGTGAAATACTTCATTAGAATAAACTACTGATCTTGTGCTGTGTCAGATTAACAGAATAGAACCTTCTTTCAGATGCCTGAATTGAAATGAAACTCATTTTGAATAATAAAAACTCTAGAAACTCTATCTTCTCATCTTACTAACCTGGTCTGTGGCAGCAAGCATATTATTTCCATTCTCCAAATATGTGTATGTCTCACAGGAAAGCTGGGAGTAGTAGTAATGAGTTAAGTGAATAAATAACTCGAAAAATATATGCCCCAAGGAGCCAACCAGCCTCATTTCCAGGGGGTGATTTCGTTTTTAGAAGAGCTACTCCCCTCTGTTAGGCCCAGCCAAGTCACATTCTTGGACAGCCATGGGTTCTGACCTTCTCCACCCAGAGCCCTCCTCCTCATCCATGAGCCTTCCTTACTCTCTGGAATGCATTACCTCTTTTTTTTCTCTTGCTGGTAGTCACCTTATCCCTGAAAGAATTAACAGCTTGTATCAGTTTTTAGTGGCTTAAAACATGACCTCTCAGGAACATGTGTAAGTGAAAATAACAATGGTGCTTACACAACCACAACACTTTTGGTGGTCAGAGTTCCGTTGCAGTTTTCAGCTATAACACGGTTATTTATGAGGGATCTTACAAACAGTTTGTAATGGTATTTATATTTGTGAATATTGTACTTTTTCTATAGATTGAGAGCAAGTTTAAGGTTTATTTCAGTAATAATGTCTTTCTCACCTTACATGGCGAAGTGTTTACTTGCAGGAAAGAGTTTAATGGGGTTTTCCGTTGGGGTGCTATAAATGCTGATGATGGCTTGCAGGGTGTGAATATCAGCCCCATTGCTGCCGGGGTGGACAGGTGGAAAACCCCAGACTTGACAGACCACCTCTGCCAGGTAGATGTATCTTAGAAATCTAGAAATTACAGTGAATATTTTATGGACTGCCAGTGAGCAGACAGCATTTCCTGCTTTTCTGTCTTATCTTGAGGGTAAGACTTAAAGGTTTTTTTTTTCTTTTTTTGCAATTTGAAATCTAGATTATTTCATGTTTGATGTATATAGCATGATGTAAGGCACACTTTATACCTGAGTCAGTGGTTTCCCTTGGATTCATTTTCCTACTTGATTAAACCCATTTAAGTCATTTTAGAAAATGGTGGTTTGCTATTCAAATTAATTGGAGAGAATACTTGGTCATTCTGGTACCAAAAAGAGACTCTGATGGAGCGTGGTGTTTTATGGATTCTGTTACAGGGCTGATTTCCTCCTTGAATAATGTACTTGCAAAATTATTGTCCATTTGATTACATTTTCTTTTTTTTTTTTCCAATAAAGTAAGCACGGTTTTAGTCCTGTAGGTCAGTTTTTGTCACAAACTCTTTTGAACTAAGATTTGCCTAGGTGAATAAATCGGGGATGACAGTTGGCTGGAGAAGATATAAGGTCCATTTGTGTCTACTCTGCAGTGTGAGATTAGGAAAAGAATCATCTAACAAATCGTTCACTCTTGCTAAACGTTGAACTAAACATAAATTTTATATAATGCATTTATTCAGAAATCATACCTGCTGTGTATATCCTATATATTTTTGGGCAATTTCTTAGGATTAAGCTTAAAAATGTAATTTGCCTACTGCAACTAAATCTTTGTAGTTTTTTTTTTTTTCTTCACTAATGAATGGCTGTCAGTATGAAAATCTTTGTAGTTTTAAAAGATAGTTTTCCCGAAATAAATCCAAGCAGATCTTGCTCTGCAAATGCTGAATGAACAAAGTATTGAGCTAATAAAGAGGATTAATAATTTTCTACTGCCTAAATACTCTTAGAAATCAGTGAATTTGGAATGCTGTTCATTTATGTCATAGATCCTGATCCTGGGCACCGGTGGAGTTACTGTCTCTCCAGTCAAGAGATTTTTTTCAGGCCTCAGGCTTTTCATGGTGAGGGTTAAATAGGAGAATTTGGCGAGGATTACCCGTCAGTTCTTGTCCAGCGTGCTTTTTGAAACACACATTCCCCTGATATGCATAATTTACATTTCAAGCCCTAGGAGGGACAGAGGGCCGCGTTGCTCCCCCATGGGAGCAGGAGTGCTAAAATCGAAGCAGGCAGCTGCGGGACCGCTATAGCCTGCCCTGCGCTCGGGCCCTTCCCGAGCAGGAAGCGCGTCGCTGTTCCCGGCTGCGCCCAGGCGGGTGCGAGCGAGCGGGCCCAGCAGCTGCGAGCCGCCGGCGCGCCACCTGTTTCCGTTCCCGGGGACTTCCCCCGGCGGGGCTCAGCAGTGTGGGGTCGGTCGCTTGGCCTCCCCTGGTGTCAGCGACCCAGGGTAACCTCCTCCACTGCAGCCTGACGTGCGGGCCCGCTTTGTGGAAGAGCCACGTGTGCCACGCTCTGGGCATGGCCTTGGAAAGTCAGGACCGCGACGGCAGCAGAGCAGTGAGTGGAATCATCTCTTGGGTAGGCCATTTAAAAAGCGCTTCATTGAAGAGTTTGAATCTCAGTCACTTTCTAGATGCTGATATCTAGAGTAGCATTGTCCAATAGAAATATAGTACAAGCCACATAGGTAAGCCTAATTTTTCTAGTAGTCGTATTCGCAAATGCATAAAGAAGCAGGTGGAGTCTATTTTAATAGTATATTCTATGTAATCCAATGCATCCAAAATACTATTTCAACTTGCAATCAATATCAATGCTGAATGAGTTATGTCCTTTTTTTTGGGTACGTCTTCAAATTCCCATGTGTATGTTACACTTGCTGTACATCTTCCAACTGACCACAGTTTCAAGTGCTCAACAGCCCCATGTGGCTTGTGGCTACTGTATTGGACAGTGCAGCTCTAGACCAGTACCCAATTCTAGTCTACCTGGAAAAATGTACCCAGGATATTGAGTTACTAGGAGACGAAGGCTTATTTCGGGAAAAGGTCATGCAAGTCTGGTAGTACAGCCAGTGCTGACGTTCAAGTTGAAAGGTTATAGACACTATAAGGGCCTCTGGCTTCAGTGTTAATTCGTTTCTTTAAAAGCTTGATACTATTCTGTTGCAGATGGATTTTTTTATTGCATTTTAGGTTTTGGGGTACATGTGAAGAACATGCAAGATTGTTGCATAGGTACAAACGTGGCAGTGTGATTTGCTGCCTTCCTCCCCATCACCTATATCTAGAATTTCTCCCCATGCTATCTGTCCCCAACCCCCCACCCCCCGCTGTCCCTCTCCTGTTTCCCCCCAACGGACCCCAGTTTGTGATGCTCCCCTCCCTGTGTCCATGTGTTCTCATTGTTCAGCACCCACCTATGAGTGAGAATATGCGGCATTTGATTTTCTGTTCTTGTGCCAGTTTGCTGAGAATAATGGTTTCCAGGTTCATCCATGTCCCTGCAAAGGACATGAACTCATCATTTTTGATGGCTGCATAATATTCCACAGTGTATATGTGCCACATTTTCCCTGTCCAGTCTATCATTGATGGGCATTTGGGTTGGTTCCAGGTCTTTGCTATTGTAAACAGTGCTACAATGAACATTCATGTGCATGTGTCCTTATAGGAGACCTATTCATAATCCTTTGGATATATACCCAGTAATGGGATTGCTGGGTCAAATAGAATTTTTATTTCTAGGTCCTTGAGGAATTGCCACACTATCTTCCACAATGGTTGAACTAATTTACACTCCTACCCAACACTGTAAAAGTATTCCTATTTCTCCACATCCTCTCCAGCATCTGTTGTCTCCAGATTTTTTAATGATCGCCATTCTAACTGGTGTGAGATGATATCTCAATGTAGTTTTGATTTGCATTTCTCTAACGACCAGTGATGATGAGCATTTTTTCATATGTTTGTTGGCCTCACGTATGTCTTCTTTTGTAAAGTGTCTATTCATATCCTTTGCCTACTTTTGAATGGGCTTATTTGTTTTTTTCTTGTAAATCTGTTTTAGTTCTTTGTAGATTCTGGATATCAGCCCTTTGTCAGATGGGTAGACTGCAGAAATTTTTTCCCATTCTGTTGGTTGCCAATTCACTCTAATGACTGTTTCTTTTGCTGTGCAGAAGCTGTGGAGTTTGATTAGGTCCCATTTGTCTATTTTGGCTTTTGTTGCCAATGCTTCTGGTGTTTTGGTCATGAAGTCCTTGCCTACACCTATGTTCTGAATGGTTTTGCCTAGGTTTTCTTCTAGGGTTTTTATGGTGTTAGGTCTTATGTTTAAGTCTTCAATCCATCTGGAGTTAATTTTAGTGTAAGGTGTCAGGCCTTGGGTCCAGTTTCTGCTCTCTGCACATGGCTAGCCAGTTTTCCCAACATCATTTATTAAACAGGGAATCCTTTCCCCATTTGCAGATGGTTTTTTTTACCTTCCCCTCTTCGTTTTCAAGGGCCTGGTATTGTCTTCAAATGCATTTCCATGTTTGGAAAGTGGAGTCGCAAAGCATTAATAATGTGGAGATTGTTTAGTCCATTTCATGGAAGAGGATACATGCATGCAGCAGCCGAGTAAACTTGCGTGTCATTTAACCAATGGCAAAAATGCGATCAGATCCCAAGTTTCCCTACTGTTGAGTTATTCGTTGTTTTCACTGTGCTACATGACCTCGTTGAAGTAAAATATCACCAGCCAGAACCTAACCACTTTTCCCCCCCGATTGTTTACACAAGGGGTTATACACGATTAAACTTTCGATTTCTTTTCTGTTCAAGTGGAGTCATCTGGGGTTGCTCAAAGTTGGAGAAATCAGTCTATGTACTTCTGCCTTAGTACCAAAAAAAGAGAGGTGCGGTATTTATTTATTTTTGAAATAGGGTCTCACTCTGTTGCCCAAGCTAGAGTGCAGTGGCATGATCACGGCTCACTGCAGCCTCGACCTCCCCAGCTGAAGTGATCCTCCCACCTCAGCCTCCCAAGTAGCTGGGATTACAGATATGCACCACCATGCTTGGTGTATTTTTTAATTTTTATTTTTTTAGAGATGGGGTTTTTCTACATTGCCCAGGCTGCTCTGGAACACCTGAGCTCAAGTAATCTGCCTGCCTTGGCCTCCCAAAGTGCTGGGATTACTGATATGACCCACCATGCCCGGCCAAGAGTTGCAATATTTAGTTAGTAAAGCTCTTGCAACTAGTTGAGGCATTGAAATAAAGTATTATGAAAAAAATGTCTACTGGAAAATAGTTTAGTTAAAACAAAATCTATTGGGGCAATATGTTAAAACTCACAGACCTCCATACTTACCCCAATATTGATTTCGTCCCACTGTTTCTTTAGGGTCTGCTCATGGATCAGTTTTTGCTTCTCTACAGCTGAGCCACCCATATAGGATGATACTGCTGGACACCCTGAGACCCATCCCTCCTCAGATGCTGAACCGGTGGGTTCTGAGCACAATGTGTTCAGTGTCCTATGGTTATCCAGCTGTTTCATAGCAGCACAGACTCTCTTGCGCTGTAACTGTCAATAGATACCATTTTTTTCTCTTGTATAACTAAAGGGGAAAAAAGTCTATAACTCATTCATTCATTCATGTGTTTTTTCTTTCAACTATTTTCATAGAGTACCACCTACTGGGTGCCAGGTCCTACTCGAAGCCTTGGGAATATAGCAGTGAACAAAGAACTCCTACCCTAAAACACTAGTGGATGAGACAGAGAGTCAAGGAGTAAACAGATGCATTATTTAATTAAAAAAAATTTTTTTTTGAGATGGAGTTTCACTCTTGTTGCCCAGGCTGGAGTGCAATGGCGTGATCTCGGCTCACTGCAACCTCTGCCTCCTGGGTTCAAGCCATTTTCTCGCCTCAGCCTCCTGAGTAGCTTTGATTACAGGTGCCTGCCACCATGCCTGGCTAATTTTTATATTTTTAGTAGAGATGGGGTTTCACCATGTTGATCTGGATGATCTTGAACTCCTGACCTCATGATCGGCCTGCCTCAGCTTCCCAAAGTGCTGGGATTACAGGCGAGAACCACCATACCTGGCCTTATTATATATTTTTTTTAAGACAGAGTCTTGCTCTGTCACCCAGGCTGGAGTGCAGTGGTGTGATCTTGGCTCACTGTATCCTCTGCCTACTGGGCTTAAGTGATCCTCCCACCTCAGCCTCCCAAGTAGCTGGGACTACAGGCACGTGCCACCATACCTGGCTAATTTTTGTATTTTTTGTAGAGGGGTTTTACTGTGTTGACCATGCTGGTCTCAAACTCCTGGGCTCAAGCAATCTGCCTACCTTATCCTCCCAAAATGGATGCTGTTATAACCTAATGTCAAAGGAAACAGATAGAAACAAGTACCATTTTGAATAGGATAGACAGGAATGCCTCCTTAGGGACGTGACATTTGGAAATGATCAAATTGAAGGGTCACCTTGCGTTCACATCTCAGGGAAGGGAGTACCAAGCAAAGGGAACCACACATGCTGGTGCCTAAAGCTTGCAACAATAAGAACAATAAGAGAGGTCAGGCGCCGTGTCTTACACCTATAATCCCAGCACTTTGGGAGGCCAAGGGAGGTGGATCCTGAAAGGTCAGGAGTTCACATCCAGCCTGGCCAACATGGCAAAGCTTTGTCTCTGCTAAAAAAAAAAATAATAATAATAAAAATAATAGGCAGGCATGGTAGTGGGCGCCTGTAATCTCAGCTACTCGGGAGGCTGAAGCAGGAGAATCACTGAACCTGGAGGTGGAGGTTGCAGTGAGCCGAGATTGAGCCATTGCACTCCAGCCTGGGCAACAAGAGCAAAACTCTGTCTCAGAAAAAAGAAAAGAAAAGAAAAAAGCCAGTGAGGCTAGTGTAGCAGGAGCAGAGGGAAAAGGAATAGCAGCAGGCAGTTCACACAGGGCCCATTGCTAAGGATTTACGTCAGACTTGTGCTGTAAGAGATTACCATGGCTGCTGTATGGAAAATTAAGGTGGGGGTGGCATGTTGCAAGAGTGGAAGCAGGCAGGCCAGCTAGACGACTACTGTAATAATCCAGCTGTGATATATTGGCTTGGACCAAGGGTCCTGGTGCAGCTGGCAGAAGCAGTCAGCTCCTGGATATATTTAGAAAGGAGAGCCAATTGCATGTGTGGAAGGAGTGGGTTTGAGGAGGAGGATCCAGAGTTCTGCCGAGGACATTTTAAGTTGGAGATGCCTGGTTTATATCCATGCCCTGCCATGCAGGCAGATGTAAATCAGGGGCTCAGGGACAAAGTTGGGACTAAGAATGGGAGGTGCCGGTGCAGAAAAGGTACTTAAAGTTTTGGTTGAATTCTAGGGTATATAAGTTGTTAGGGAAGTTAGTATGCTTGTTCTCGAGTTGTTGGAAAGGCATATAAATGATACAAATGCATGGCCACAATATGTATTTTCTCAGTAATATTTGGTGAAATGTTCTGGGCGTGAGGTTTGGCATCTAGTTTTTCCTGTAGGAAACTGATAGTCATTGAAGTAGTTTTGATTTGGGTGTAAGTT